TACGGCTTGAAAAGTATAGGTGAGCCATTTCAAGTTATGATTTTAAATTTAAGTTTTTATTTATTGATTTATTAATAATTTCAATTATTGTTATACATTTTTTTATTTAAAGTACATTTTTCTCTCTTTTGATATGCAAAATTATTACTAATTAAAATTGGAAATTTAAATTGTGTTAATATATTCCATTAATCTTTTACGTGACATAACCAGTTTTAACCAATTTCGGGAAAGAATAATATTTTATATTTTAATTTTTCAATTAAATTTAGGGAAAATTTAAAAGACGTCTCTATAAGTTTGTGTAAGATTTTAGGATGAAAAATTTACTTATAAATTTTATTTTGAGGAATGGTGATCTATTTAATCCCAAGATTTTTTTTATAGACCAATTAGTTTCATTGATTTTGGAAATGTAAATTTAATTTATCATTTGAAAATTGAATTTACAGTTATACTCTTATTTTTATTATGTTTCCTTATCTTTTTCTTTTTCTTTTTTTTTTCTTCTTTTGTGCTAGAAAGGAGAGGTAAACAATTTATGAGAATTAAATTTGGGATAAATTTTTGTATGAAAATCTTTTTTATTTGGAAAACATTTCAAAAGGAGTACAGAAATGACTTCAAATATAGAATTCTTCAAATATTTCAAAAAGAGTAGAAAAATTCCTTAGTAAGCTTTCAACAAATGTATAATTTCAAACTGTAATATTCCAATATAAAACTAAAAAAAAAAAAAAAATTCTTAGTGTATTTTTCTCAAACTAGTGTAACACTCTAATTTAACACATAAAAAAACATCTTAGTGTACCTTTATCAAACATAACACTCTAATATAATACTCAAAAAAAAACTTCTTAATGTAACACTCTAATGTAACAAACACACAAAAAAATTTCTTAGTGTAACACTTTAATGTAACACACAAAAAAAACTTCTTAATGTATTTTTCCCAAATGTAACATTTCAATATAACACTCTGAAAAAACTTCTTCGTATAACACTTTAATGTAACACACAAAAAAAAACTCCTTAGTGTAACACTTTTATCAAACGTAACACTCCAAAAAAATATGTAGGATTCTTCAAAGTATTTCAAAACGATGAAAGATTCTTCAAACTGTTCAAAATGGAGTATAAAAATTTCTTAGTAAATTTAGGCAAATGTATAATTTCAAACCGTGAGTGTTACGTTTGGAAAAAGTACACTAAACAGTTTTGAATATTTTTGTGTGTATTACGTTGGAGTACGTTACGTTTGGAAAAAATACACTAAGGAGTTTTTTTAGTATTATGTTGTTACGTTTAAGAAAAGTACACCAATGAGTTTTTAATATGTTATATTGAAGTGTTATGTTAGAGTTTTATGTTTTTGTTCGTAATGTGGGATTTGTTCCAAAATAAGGGAAATTTCAAAACTTCTATGGTGCAAATTGCCCAAATGTATAATTTTACATTTGAAAAAATTTACTTTTATCTCTGAAAAATTAAACCCAAACATATGACTGAGATTTTTCTATTTTAATGGGATCTTCGGATTCATAAGGAAAAAGAGAAGACTAACAGTTCAAAAAATCATATTTTGAGATTTATTGGTGCTTCACCCTTTAAGGATAACAACATTTTGCTTACTAGTTAAAATTCTTGAGATTTGAAATCTTAAAATAATAAGGACAACTCTAACATATATAGTCCAAAATGCCCTCATGATCTCAAAAATCCTAATTTTTCTCAGAACGTCGTTTCTCTTTCGCGTGACCTTTTTACGTTGTTGAAGTGATATCAAAATTTTAAAATTTAATAACTTTTGATTTATATCTCAATTTTTTTGTAAAATTTATATTTTTAGAAATTTCATTAACATAGTCTGACTTGGTTATCAAAATTTCTCTAACCAAAATTTTACCAGCCTGTCTCATGTCAATAAAATTTCATCAACTTCTTTTTTTTGTTTGTTTTTTACAATTTTGTATTCATCATAGATCTTATTTTATAGATTTTGATGAAACGATTTCAAAAACACAAATTTTATAAATAAAAAAAGTATAGATCAAAAGTTGCATATTTTTGCCCAAGGTGGTCATGTATTCAATTCCCCTTAGGAAGATTGAATTAAGAGAGTGCGAGCACTTAGGTGCTTTGCCAAGGGTGGGGAGATTTTCTCCCATAGGTGCTAATCTAACAACTAACAACTAACATTTGCTGATAAAAAAAAAAGTTGCATAATTTTGAAATTTTTAAATGAGTTAAAAAAGTAATAGGTGATACATGAAGCGGTATAGTGGGACTATTTTTGTCACTGTATATTTTCGAGGACCTATATTATTATTATAAAAAATTATGTTGTCTTTATTCTTCAAAAAAAAATATTACTAGAAATAATAAGCAAAAAATCCTGTAAGTTTATAGAAACATATAAAAATAATATTTCACAATTTTGACCTCCACTTTTTTTTAATATATATTTTATAAAGGATGTTTTGTTATATGGTGAAAAATGATTCATAAAATAGAATTTTACAAAATTCATACAAATTATGTGGCACTGTTATTTTTGGACCATAAATGAGTGTTTTTTTCCTCTTTAAAATGGTCACAAAAGAAAAAAAAAATTCATTTTATTTGAGTTTTTTGTATGAAAATTCTATTTCTACAACATTATTATAGAATATCAACCGTTAGAAAGACTAAACTAATATTGCTATAGATGAAGGCATAAGAAGTTTGGCAATTGAGAAGCAACAAGAATTGAGGCAATCGTATTAGCATGTTGTTGAAGAGGATTTTGTTGGGTTTGAGGAAGACTTGAACAAGGTTGTGAAACATTTGGTGCAAGTTGATGACTATACTCCTAGTAGAGTTGTCTCTATTTGCGGCAAAGGTTTTTGGAAGACCACTCCAGCTAAAAAAGTATATCATCACAAAGATGTCCACAGTCACTTTGAAGGTTTGGCATGGGTGTGCATATCTCAACAGTTTAAAAGAAGAGATATTCTGCAAGAAATCTTCATCAATCTTGTTCCAGAGAGGAAGGAAGATGTTGTTACGATGACAAATAATGAGTTGTTTGAGCAACTTTATAAAGTCTAGCAGAGTAAAAAATGCTTAGTTGTACTGGATGATATTTGGTCAATAGAGGCTTGGAAGAGCTTGGAACCGACCTTTCCAAACGGAAACACAGGTAGCAAAATATTGCTAACGACTCGTAATAAAATATTGCCTTCATAGATAGATCCGTACCCTATCGTCCATGAACCCCAGTGTTTAAATGACAAGGAAAGTTGGTATCTACTTCAAAAAAAATCATTACTAAGAAGAGATGGTAAAGGTAATATTAATTAGTCCACATTGCTATATATCTTGATAAAAATTAAATTATTTCAATGTTAGTTTTCATATCATCTGTGTGGTCTATTATCATCCAAAAAGATTAATGACCCATGGGTTGAAATTTGGGAAAGATATGGAAAATACTCTAGCTCTACTGGCCATAGGGTCGAACCAAATGTATTTAGAATATTCATTTACGAAAACTACATAAAATTGAAAACTTAGGGATTACTTTACAGTGAGACAGAAAATAAAATTTTACACAAACATGCTTGCGTCTCCATAACTTTTCACTTGCATCTGTATAATTTTACACAAATATTAGATACTTCCAGAGTACTATATTATCTACATGATCTAGTATCGGCCAATAAGAAACCGCAACACACTAAATAGTCATCATTTGTCTCCTAACTACCCTACAAAGATGACTTAACATGTTTCATTCATAAAATTTTTTGCTATGCAATTAATTTGAAACACCATATAGACAATGACACATAATATTCTAAGACTAGTCACTAATTATTCATTAAAATTTGAATGACTTATGTCATGCATGACGACTTTGTAATACTAGCTTAGAGTGAAAGAAGGTTACAGGTACATACATCACTCTTTCTACGTTTTTGTATGCCTTTCTATAAAAAGTTAAAAATCAACTAAAATAGCAAATTTCCAAAAGGGGCCACAGTCCACTTCTTGCCCTTAACATCACTCTCTCTGCACCAAATGCATGCATGAATTTGAGAAATCCTTTTTCTTCTTCTTTGTTGATATAGAACTTTTGATTGAAAAGATGCAAGTATCAATGTAAACAGTGCTGACTTTGAGGCAAAGTTGAGGAAACGGCTGTTTTGGAATTCAAAAATTGGTTGAAAAAAAGGGTTCTAAAAAACTATCCCTTAAATAGAAACAAAAAAGCTTGTTGATGTAGTAAATTATTTAAAACTAATGGATGATTCAAGTATTAGTGTAAACAGTGCTGACTTTGAGGCAAAGTTAAGGAAACGGTTGTTTTGGAATTCAAAAATTGGTAGAAAAAAAGGGTTCTAAAAAACTATCCCTTAAATAGAAACAAAAAAGCTTGTTGATGTAGTAAATTATTTAAAACTAATGGATGATTAATTTCTAAATATATAGTTTGCGTATAAAATGTTATATACTATCCCTGTTACAGTTGTTCTTGGGGAAATCAGCTTATTAAAACTGAAATTGATTAAATCTTACCTTTAGTCAACTTTGTCACAAAAATGATTCGATAGATTTGATTGTTAAATTGAATTATGCAAGTTTGATTAGTAATTTCACAACTAATAATTTGAGTTTTATACTTGAGAATACAAAAGTTCAAAATTTTTAAAATAAAATTTAAATTACTAACCGATTTGATTTTGAAAAAAAAAAAAAAAAGCTTTAAAAATCAATTCACATTACAAGCTTGCTTTAGAATTATCTATGTATATATGTATAAAAGGCCCATATTAAAAACTTGATTTGGGTCTCAAAAAAGTCGGCAAATTTCCCTTTTTTATTGCTTATTCACGCAAGCATTCATTAGAATTTTTATTTTCGTTGTTTTATAGAATCTAGGCAATAATCTATTTTTTTGTTGTTTTTAAATTTTGCATTTTGTTGTTGTTGTAAACTCCAGAGTGCTTGACACAAACATGGAGGCATTAGGGAGGAAAATGGTAAATCTATGTGTTGGGTTACCGTTAGCAATCATTGTGCCTAGTGGACTTTTGGCAAGAAAGCATACATTAAGGGAATGGGAGATGGTATACCAAAATGTTCATTCGCATAAATGGAATGACGACCCAACACAGCATGACAATGGAGTATCAAAGGTGTTAGCTTTAAGCTACCATGACTTGCCTTATCAATTGAAGCCATGTTTTCTATATTTTGGTCACTTTCCGGAGGATTATGGGATCAATGCTGAAAGACTATATCACTTATGGATAGCTGACGGTATAATTGTAGATGATGATAGAGTGGGGGATGAAACAATAATGGATGCGGCAAAACGTTGCTTGGGTGCACTAGCACAGAGGTGCATGGTTGAAGTACATGTAGACATGTATACTCAATGGATCAATTATTGTCGCATTCATGACCTTATGCTGGATTTGTGTTTATCAAAGGAAAAAATGAATGATTTTCTTGAGATCATTCATCTCCAACGCGAAACTGATCTAGCTGATTGCTTTCCCACCACATCAACAACCACTACTCCTAAAATACGCAAACTTGCAATTCATTTGAGTAGGGATGTCGAAAGAGTTGTCCTCCCTGACTTGGAGACAACTAAACAGCTAAGATCAATATTGTTGTATGATCCAAGAATTCACTTGTGGCCTTTATCTAGTGACGAAAAGTCTTCAATAGAGTTGAACTTCCATGTCAAGTACTTCAAATTGCTTAGGAATTTGGATCTTGAAGGATTTGAGTTTGATGAAAAGTCAGTCGAATCAATAGGTAACCTAATTAGCTTGAGGTACTTGAGTTTTAGAAGTTGTTTCATACCTAAGTGGCATTCGTCTATCTGCAAGTTGAAATACTTGCAAACCTTGGATTTACAACATTGCGAGTTCAACCCAGGTGAAGTAATAGTCTTACACGGAATGGAACAATTGAGGCATTTGTATATTCCTCGCAATGCTAAATTCAAATTTGATGGGTTAAGCAACCTCGAAACATTAGGAGGGTTTGACACAAGATCTTGTGACGTCAATGATCTATGTAAATTGATCAATCTTCGGCAACTAGAAGATGCAACTTTCTCAGAGGAGGACAATCAGGACTTAGCAGCTTTCATCAACTACCTAAACATCAGTGCCAACCACCTTCAACATACATCCTTATCAGTTGAATTTTACAAAAAACAAGAAGAGTTGACTCTTCTCAAAAACAACTGTTAGGGTGTCACCATCTTTACAAATTGAGTATTAGTGGAATTATTCCCGAGTTACCAGAGTACTGCCAAGGTTTCTCTCCCAGCCTCATCGAGTTAATTTTGTTTAGATGTGAACTTGAAGAAGACCTTATGCCAACATTGGAGAGGCTGCCTAACCTACAATATCTCTATTTAGGTAGTGGTGCCTTTATGGGGGACAAAATGGTTTGCTCAGCTAATGGTTTCCCCCAACTCAAAACCCTATCTCTCTATCAGTTGATACTCTTAAAAGAGTGGGAGGTGGAAAAAGGAGCGATGCCCAATCTCTCTAATTTAAAAAGTGCTTATTGCAAAGGACTGGAAATGGTTCCAGAGGGACTGAGATTCATTGCTACCCTCCAACGATTTACAATTAGAGGAGCGGACAATAAATTCAATAACAAGCTTCGATGGGTCAATGGTGAAGAAGGAGAAGATTTTTACAAAGTGCGACATGTGTCTTCCCTCAACATTATTGGGTAAAATTTTCAATTCTAGATAATCCTTTCACAAGAGATGAAACAACTGTTGGGTCTCTTATCATTTCTTTCACATCCCCCTCATTAATTTTCATCATTAAATTTGTTGATATATACATATATCTCTCTGCTCCTTTCACAAGAGATGAAACAACTGTTGGGTCTCTTATCATTTCTTTCACATCCCCCTCATTAATTTTCATCATTAAATTTGTTGATATATACATATATCTCTCTGCTTTTTTGCCTTTATATTGGTTTAGGGGTGGACAAATTACCATAGAATAAAAAAACTAAACCAAACCAACATCTTTAGATTGGGTTGGTTTTTTTTTTAATACATTGGTTTAGTTTTGGGTCTTCAATTTGTCAATTTGATAGGATTGGATTGATTTTTGATTTACCCTTTATCTAAATAGAACAAACTTGATAACCCAATATATATATATATGTATGTATGTATATTATAAGATTCAATTTATATCGGCATGCTTTTGCCTAAGGGTGGTGATTCATCCCACTAATTTTTTGACCACTAATAGCACTAATGAACTAAAAAAAAAAAAAAAACAAACTCAAGCCAAAACATCACATCACTTTGGTGGGGTCCCCTGTGCCACATCATTAGTGATGCTCTAGTGCTCCCAATTTAGAGCTCTAAAACATTATTGTTTGCCTAATTGGTTTATTCTAATGGACTTGATTGCAACTAATCATTTCTCTCTATTTATTTTGATTTTCAATCAATATGAAGAAAAAGAACGGGAAGTGAAAGAAATTTTCTGTCGATATGAAGAAGAAGAATGGGAAGTGAAAGAAGAAGAAGAAAAATGGTAAGTGGAAGAAGAAAATACTGGAAGTTAGAGTTGGAATTCATGGTACTTAATTTTATTTTATTAGTTGTGTTTCTAGTTTTGATTTGCGTAGGTTGTATTTAGTCTTCGTTTGGCATTGGCTTTTGTAGCTAGTTTTTTTGTGTTGGGACTTTTTTAGCTTGGTTTTTTTAGCCTCGTTTAGGCTTTTTTTGGATTTTTTGACTTTTGTGAGAGAAAAAGTATAATGATTATGGTTTGGATGTGATATTTTGTCTTGTTGGCTTATGTAGCCAATTTTGTCTTTATGTGCTTTTTTAGCCAAAAATCTAAAACCAAACAAAGCTTTAAGCTTTCTAATCAGAAAAAAAAAAAAAAAAAACACTTTAAGCTTGAGTTAGATTTCACTATACTATTCACAGATGTTGACTTGTATTAAACAATATTTATTTTATGTTTGCGTTATATTTAAGTATTAAAGACTTATTTATTTTAATTATTTATTATTGATTAATTCATTTTTTTGAATTGAATTGATTTGGTTCAAGTGCATGATTCATTTAAATTGGTTCTAAATTTAATGTCAACTCAAACCAAACCGGTCCAATCACACCCCTATATTGGTTTATATCCATTGAGATTTTTTTAATACATGACCAGAGCAATAAAAGTTGGGATTTTTATAATAGACCCCTTATAATAAGATTTTTTTATAAGAACACAAACGAGCCCATAAGTTTTACTGTGAAGAGGACAACACGTGCAGAAAACACAACCCAATTACTGAATAGCTAATTTTATTTTTTAAACTTTTAAATACTAACTATTAACTTAAATTTTTATTTTTTTAAAGTATTTTTTGGAATATTCTTATAGCGATCCCGGGTTTTTCCCTTTATGTACAGTATTCTGGACTTAGGTTCCGCGGTTGAGTATTGTTGTATTTGTTTCATTTCCATCCTTTAATTCCTTATATTTGAATTTTAGGATGTGTTGGGCAGGTTTGTATCAGGTTGGGAGTGTTTTGAAACAAATGGTTGCTACCCAGATTTTGGTGTCTTCGCTCGAGCGAGACTTTTGTCACTCGAGCGAGCTTTGTGTTTTAGATCCTTCGCTTGAGCCAGGGTTCCTTCGCTAGAGCGAGAGTTGGGTGATGTGTCTGGTGGCTCGAGCGAGAAGTCTTGTGCTCGAGCTTGCGTCTGCGTTTGGTTCTGGACTTGAAGGTTGCAATTATTCGCTCGAGCGAGCTTTTCTTCGCTCGAGCATGCTTCAGGGTTGTAGACCTGAAGCTTCGATTTGTTGGCTTGAGCGAAGCTTTCTATAGCGATCCCGGGTTTACCCTTGTTGTACAGTGATCCGGACATGTGTCCGTGGGTGATAGTAGTTGAGTATTACCTTGTGTACATCCTTTCTTACTTTGTAATTGAGTTATAGGATGTGTTGGGCAGGTTTGTTACAGGTTGGTTGGGTTTAGAAATCAAGACTAGTTGCCCAGATTTTGGCCTTCACGATCGAGCGGGGATTTTGACGCTCGAGCGGGCCCTTCGTTGTTGTCTGTCCACTCTAGCGGGGTTTTCGATGCTCGAGCGTGGTTTTCCATCTTCCAGTATCTCCTCTGCAGTGTTGTATGCTCGAGCGGGTGTTTTTACGCTCGAGCGGGTGGTTGTGTGTGACGCTCGAGCGGGATGGTTAACGCTCGAGCAGAGACCTGGTTCTGTAAAAGTTCTGGGAGTGTGTATCCACCGCTCGAGCGGGATTGTTGACGCTCGAGCGGGAGTCTGTGAGTGACGCTCGAGCGAGGAGTTGGACGCTCGAGCGGGGCGACTGGGTTAAAGCTCCGTGTTTTGACTTTTCAAATTACTTTTTCACTTTCTCTTCTCTCTCCTACTTTCCCAAAAACACCATTGTTGAGCCCCTCACTCTAGAACTCTACTTCTCTCTAGGTTTTGATCTAGTAGGAGTGATTTGCTCATCTTTGGCCTTTACAAAAAAGTTGTTGATCGTCGAGGGCTACATTTTAATCTGAAAATTTCAGGATTTGGAGCACGTTGGGTTTTGTCATCTTCTCCCTTAGGGCTCCGGATTTGAGGTAGGGATATCCTACTCCTCTCTATGGATTTTGTCTTTAAATTTTAGTATTTTGAGATGTTGGGGTTGGTTTGGTAACTTTGTGAAAGTTTGGGGCTTTTGTGTTATTTTACAAAAGTTGGGGTTTTATTTATAATAAACCTAGATGCATGTTGGGCATAGAGAAATGGAATAAATGTTGAATCATTGATGAAAATGGGACCTAAGGGTTGTAATGTTAATTATGGAAAATGACCTAATTACATTGTTTGATTAATTGGGATAATTAATTGTGAGAAATGAGGAAATGAAATGGAATTGTTGAGATTGGGAATGCATGGGGTTAAAAGGGTATAGTTGAATTATTTATCACTCACCGAATTGAAATGTTGATTGAATATCCGTTTGTGCATTTATTTTCTATTTAGAAATAACTGTTTTGGGCTATCGGGGGAGGACAGTCGTGATTGTTGTAGACAATGCATGATGATTAGGCAAATGAAAACTAATCAATGGAATGTGTCATGGAATTTGACGGTTGATAGAATACATTAACTGTATGTATTGAGGGAAGATGGGGGATGTACCTCTAAACCGGTTAATGGTTTAGGGGAAGATGGGGGATGTACCTCTAAACCGGTTAATGGTTTAGGGGAAGATGGGGGATGTACCTCTAAACCGGATAGTGTTGGGAGAAGATAGGGGATGAACTCCGTAGATACAGCTCATATGCTTGTCTAGAGAAGTGAAGATAGAGCTCATATGCTTATCTTTGTGAAGTGTAGATACAGCTTATGTGCTTATCTGTGAATGTGGGATGTAGTTGTTATACATATCTGTTGAGAATGTGGATATAGCTTATATGCTTATCTGTGAATGTGGGATATAGTTTTTATACATATCTGTTGAGATGATGATAGAGCTAATGTGCTTATCTGTTGAAAAAGGGAAAATGAAAAGTAACTTGGACTCATAAGTCGTATGACAAAAAATGTGATTTATGTGGAAGTATCAGTGTTGGCCATCTATCAATTGCTAATCTTTTAGTCATTGTTCATGGTTGGTTTAGTGTATTTCTACTGGGCTGTGGCTCACCCTATATGGGAATATCATTTTCAGGTACAGGTAGCATGCCATCTCCAAGGACGTAGCTTGGGAGGCTAGAGGCGGACACACTTTTTGTTGTCTTATTTTCCTTTTGATGTATTACATGTAAATCCAAGCCAAGAGCTTAATGTGTAAATGAGTTAGTACTCTTTTTATTGTAACCAAGTGTTAACTTGGAAAGCTGTAAGCCCTTAGGGCATTTGCTTTTGTCGTTAACATGTAATACTTTTTGTAATGAAACTCTGATGAATAGAAGAATGTGGAACTTTTATATATCAATGCATGTCTATATTGATGGGTTAATGTTATTATTTTGAGGGCGTTACACTTTCTACGCTCGAGCGAGGTTTCTTTGTGTCTGGTCGCTCGAGCGACCACTCCTTCGCTCGAGCGAGCCTCGAATATATCAGTTGGCAGCAGCGGGTTACACTTCACTTTTTCGTCATCTTCTTTTATACAAACCCTAGACCAGCTGCTCTTTCTCTCTCTATATACCTTCTCTCTAGGGTTTTATCTAGTTCTAGTGGTCTTTTACCCTAGTCCCTTTGGAAGAAAGGTAGAGCTTCGTGAGGGCTTCACTTTAATCTGAAAAGTTATGGATTTAGAGCACTTTGAGTTTCACCTCTCTTCTCCTTTGAGCTCTGAAAATTAAGGTAGGAATAACCTACTCTATTCTATGAGGTTTAACATAAATTTTGGTTATTTTGATTAGATGGTGTTGCTTAGTCATTTTGAGAAAGTTAGGGTTTGATTTGAGGTTATAAAAATGGGGGTTTTCACATGTTAAAACCTATGTGTGTATGAGACATTGAAAAATGAAATTGTTGTTGTTAAATCGATGAAATTGATTCTTTAGGCTAATATTGAGAAAAGGGGAAAAATGCCCTAATTATGTTGAATAATTAATTTGGGAAAATGTGAAATTGAAGTGAAATTCATGAAATTGGAAAATTGTGGGAGTAAATGGTGTAGTTGGATAATTTAATCACTCACCTATGAAAATGTCGATATTTTATCT